ATTAACTTTTATTGTGTTGTGCTATCAAGTTTTATTGTATTAGCGTAAATCGGCAGACAAATTTAAATGTCGGTTGGTGTTAAACAGTTACCTACAGGAGCACACCTCGTCACAATTTGATACAACTAACATCGAGACATGAGCTACAAATCAAACAGTCAAACATGAAGATCACTGGTCGTTACGTTTCCGATCCGGTGGTAGATTCTGCAAAGCACTGCTCTTGCTGGGGCTAGTGTTAGCAACACTCTCGGTTTGATCCCCGTGCGCTCACCTACACGTCTACTACTAGTCGTCGTAGCCTTAAGGATAAGACGTCCGGTGCATTCGTTGTTGCGATGCACCGGTGTTCGAATCCCGCAGGCGGGTACCAATTTTTCGAATGAAATACGTACTTAACAAATGTTCACGATTGACTTCCACGGTGAAGGAATAACATCGTGTAATAAAAATCAAACCCGCAAAATTATAATTTGCGTAACCACTGGTGGTAGGACCTATTGTGAGTCCGCACGGGTAGGTACCACCGCCCTGCCTATTTCTGCCGTGAAGCAGTAATGCGTTTCGGTTTGAAGGGTGGGGTAGCCGTTGTAACTATACTGAGACCTTAGAACTTATATCTCAAGGTGGGTGGCGCATTTACGTTGTAGATGTCTATGGGCTCCAGTAACCACTTAACACCAGGTGGGCTGTGAGCACGTCCACCCATCTAAGCAATAAAAAAAAAAAAAAAAAACGTCAAGTAGAAGCTGAAATAGCCTCTCAAGTCTATCCAGCATAAATAGGGGAAAAAAACCCCGACTGGTCGGCGGATATTAATAAAAGTGACAATTTCGAGAGTGAAATTTAGACGTACATATGAATATTATGGCAATTTCAGATTGAGAATAAAATTGATATTGCAAAAGTAAATAATTTCGATCAAAAAGATTCTTTGAAAAACTCCGTGAAAATAATGTTACTATTTTTTTTTTATTGCTAGATGGGTGGACGAGCTCTAAGCCCACCTGGTGTTAAGTGGTTACTGGAGCCCATAGACATTTATCCCTTAGGCCACGACGACTTACTAATAACATTTACCAGGTTTGTCTTCGAATGGGCATAATAAATAATGCCACATGATTAGGATCGAATAATCTTCTTAATAGGAAAAGTTTGTTATTATTTGAATCCGTAAAATACGACATTCTAGATAATGATACTTGAGTTCACTGTGATAGGTTTAGCATGTAGTGTATGAATTGTAAAAAATCGTCATATTACTCATCATCATGATCATCATGGTTCCAAACCGGGTTTGGGCACGTGACCAAAATTACTAAGCTACCATTGAGTGTTGTTGGGAACTTAATGCTTTTTCCTATAATCCTATAAGATTATGGAGCCATTTTAGCGATTTTTTGTGAAATACAAAATGAAACTTATGTGAGATTTAGTGTAAGGTTTGTAAAGCATACAATTTGTTTAGAAAAATCTGTACTCTTTTTTCATGGTAATTGGTATTGATAAAAATAAAACCCGAATATGTTACAGGAACTATTAAAAGTAATAGACATTTTGGTTAAGTGCAAAATGTTGCTTTTCATTGTATTCATTACTCAACGCGATGTAGTTTAGTATCCTTCATGGCAATCGTGCTCCGAAATGTTGAGACCTTGACCTTGAAACTTCCCCGGACTCGACTATTGTACTATGACTAGAACAATCAGCTGTTTTTATCAAAGTGGGCCAAGAAATAGCATAATGTGCACTTAAGTCAATTTTTTGTTTTTTTTGTTATTTTTTATGCTTAGATGGGTGGACGAGCTCACAGCCCACCTGACGTTAAGTGATTACTGGAGCCCATAGACATCTACAACGTAAATGCGCCAATCACCTTGAGATATAAGTTCTAAGATCTCAGTATAGTTATAAGAAAGTGTTACAAGTAGTTACAAGTTCGAAAATGATGAAATGACATGTCCTTCTTCAAAAGAGGCTTGTGGAGAGTATTAAGCGGTAGGCAGCGGCTTGGCTCTGCCCCCGGCATTGCTGAAGTCCATGGGCGACGGTAAGCACTCACCATCAGGTGGGCCGTATGCTCGTCAGTCTACAAGGGCAATAAAAAAAATAATGAACCTACGCGCGGTTCTCTGATTTCATCAGTAGCTTCCTCATCTCAATACTCGATACTAAGCGGAGCTGAAGATAATCTTTTCCATCTTAGAATCCGACACCCTTATGTTAGGTTGAGCGGAGACAAGGAAGTTTTGTGGTAATGTCTTAAATATTCGTTTTTTATCTTTACCTCAACAAATACATTTACGACTAGGAAGTATGTCTTATAGACAATTTGCGAGGGCTAGGAAATTTTAATATTATTCCTGAAGTGATTTAGAAGGAGCTAAATAGGAAGACATAAACAATTGCTCTCACTCTGCGAAACACCGTGCCACACGGCGTCGCATCGCGAGAGCATCGGTATCGCAGGATCCGACTGATGCATGACCACGACCACTCTATCAAGAGTGTACGAATAGGAAGAATAGGAAATAGGAAGAAGATAGCTTAAATAATAAGATGAACTATGCGCATGGTAAATATTAAAAACTTAATAAAACAACTTATTACATTAAATTCGTTTTCTGAAGCATTACAATCGTAAAGTTTTTTGGATTAAACCACCGCGAATACCCTAGTCAAGCGATAATTTCGTGAAGTTAAATAGCATTAATTAATTAGAAGGCCCTTATAATTTCCGGTGCTTATTTTTTGAAGGAAAAATGGCCCTTAATTCAGGAACCACGTTTTGTTGGTTAAATTAAAATTAATCGGGATCCATTTTTCAAACGTCTTTGTTTCTTTTTCAACTGAATGCAGTAATGAATCTACTTTTTTTTTGCTAGTATTTTTTTATAACATTAATTTCTCTAACAGAAACTTGTCCCACAATTATGATCACAATACTACAGTGTCTTCCTACAGTATATTGGAATTGATTTAAATTGGTTTTGTTCTATGCAATGCAAGCTTTAGGTATATTGTTTACGTTTAGAAACATATTTTCGATCATTGATGTCAAGCGAATAATCTTTGAAGATTAATTAGTGATTTTACTCAACGATTGTTTCCTAAATACGATATTTTAATATGATAGGGGTTTAGTATATTTTAGTTTAGTTTAGTATTTAAAATTTTATAATATATTCATTAGTCTATACGTAAACTTTTTGGATTATTAAAAAAAAACAAAAGAAGAAAGCGAAATGCGTAAAAACTGAACTAAGTACAAAAATAAATGCTTAATGTTTTTGAATCTAGCAGCATATTGACTACATAGAAATTTAGATTAATTTCATAATTAATTTTAATCTACTTTTTCCAATAAATGAATCGTTAACTATCCCGCATTTTTGGGGCCCAGTCAAATAAATGTAAAAAGGCTCGTATTGTTGAGGTTGAAGCATACATAATCGGTAAATTAAGCTGCAGCATGTGTCAACACTATAAAACCTTAAACGGTAACCACCGTGAAATAAAAAATTTTGCATGCCAATTATTAAATTAAAGAAGGAATATGTATTTTTAAGTTTTATTTTATTATTTTACGATTGAAGGATTACTGGTGGCCCGGAGGCCTTTCCAGTTTCACCAGGACAGATAGGCGAGTAGAGGCTCAGCCAGGAGGGGTGGGATTGTGCTAACAGCTGCCAGAGCGCCTCCGAAGGAGAACTTACAACTCAAGAGCAGCTGCTTCGCGAATTAATCTACTACCGGATCGGAATCGCGACCCGTTGAGAAGATCCGGCGAGAAACTCAGCGGGATGATGTATGGGTTAGGTTGAGTTCGACGAGTACGGTTACCGGGGTCCCTAAGCCTGCTCCTAGTGTTAGAACTGAAGGCGTCTAATGCAAAGGTTATTGGATCTGATTAATCCGAATTTTCAAGTTACAACAGAATGACTTACGATATTCCGTAGTAGACGAACATGCTGATGTCGTACCAGTGGATGGCAAGATATCTGAGTACAGTGGAGCCGACGGCGATGGAGGCGAAGACGGTCCAGCCAATGGTCCTGGCTTTCCAGAACAGAAGCATCAGAGGCAAGGTCGCTACGTACAGCTGCATGTCCATACCGATCTGATGCGTGTGCGTCAGACACTAGAAGCATTCCAACTTAGTTATTACACAATACCGGGTGTTAGTTTTAAATTAAGCCTAGCAGGTGAGACGTCGCGTGTTCTTGTGTCAAGCTAAGCGATTATGCCGATTTTGAAACCCTGCATCATTCGCGAAGCTGCCACTCTTGAGGTCTCCTTTGGAGGCGCTCGGACAGCTGTTAGCAAATCCCACCCCTACAGGCTGAGCCTTTGCTCGCCTACCTGTTCTGGTGCAACTGGAAAGGCCTCCGTGCCACTAGTAATCCCTCAATCATAAAAAAGAAGCCCTGCAGGGAGGTATTGTTTGAATAATTACAGAGATCGTATTGTGTGTTCAGGAATGACAGCACGCGATCAAAACGAAATATATATTTTTTGCGTAATTAGTAGTTGTAGGATTAATGTGAATCTACTCGGTAAGGTAGGTAGCGGCTTGGCCCTGCCCCTGGTATTGCTGACGTCCATGGGCGACGGTGACCGCTTACCATCAGGCGGGCCGTGTGCTCGTCTGCCTACAAGGGCAATAAAAAATACCTTTCTATGTTACGGGTGGTAGGACCTCTTGTCAGTCCGCACGGGTAGGTACCACCACCCTGCCTATATCTGCCGTGAAGCAGTAATGCGTTTCGGTTTGAAGGGTGGAGCAGCTGTTGTAACTATACTGAGACCTTAGAGCTCGCATCTCAAGACGGCATTTACATTGTAGATATCTATGGGCTCCGGTAACTACTTAGCACCAGGTGGGTTGTGAGCTAGTCCACTCACATAAGCAATAAAAAAAATAAAAAACCTGCTACTGCCACGGGGCAAGCAAGCGATCCTACTTAATGGTTTGCACACTACAGTTGAGACTACGATCCCATGTCTGAGGACGGGTGGCGGTCTAGGCGTTGTGATGTCTAAGTTGAAACAATCATTGTTTTTAGTAAGAAAGTATAGTCGAACGATGTCAACTTGTAATGTAGATTTTCCTTATGCAACTATGAGAACTGGGTTAACGCAGCATTATTGTAACTATGTACTTTGTAATTAACATCTATCGTCAATTAGCGTGGTATAATAAACTTGGGAAGCAGTTTTGATTGACTTTACTTCACGTTTCAAATTTTAGGGTAGTAACGAGAGACAGAGAGAGAGACAGAGACAGAGTGAGATAGAATAAGCACACTAAAACACAACATTAAAAACAGTGAAAAGGCAGGTATAATTTTAATAAGATATTGATTCCGAACAGTAATCAGGGATACTAATCACTAGGTCATGAAGTTTCAAACTAAATTTATACTACAGTATATATTAATGTATGTAATGCATTAATAGTCCACAGTACTTAAAGGTTGTTAAAAACTACGTGTTTTATTTATGGGATATTTCCTACCATTATGCATGCAAAATTGACCAAGTAATTAAATTAAGAAATCGCTATTCCTAATGACCGCCTGCTGACTAATAAATGCACTTCGCAATTTATCGAAATAAAACTAAGACTTCATATAGTACTCGAGAGTAGATCATCTATATATATATATATATATATATATATATATATAAATGAGTTGCTGTTCGTTAGTCTCACTAAAACTCGAGAACGGCTGGACCGATTTGGCTAATTTTGGTCTTGAATTGTTCGTGGAAGCCCAGAGAAGGTTTAAAAGGTAAATAAATATGAAAATGCTCGGAATTATATAAAAACAAACAAGTTTGTTTTTCCTTTGATGTGTCTTCCGTAGGACGGATTCCTTTTGTTTGTTTTAAGTTTATTTCATACAAAAGATTAGGTTTTTTATTTATCGATTAAGGCACTACGAAGTCTGCCGGGTTTGCTAGTGGGTAATAATAATACTCTTACCATTTCCTCGAATCCAAAATAGTTGTGAATGAAAAGGAAGCTCTTCCACATGTTCTTCTCGCAGACTCTGCTGTGCTCTTCCACGACGAGGTTCCACTGGGGTCCGTTGCTGATGTCAGGCAGGATGTACGTGCAGAACAACATCAGGCTCACGAACAACGGAAATAACCTGGGAGATTAATTATACAAGTGACTGGTAGAACTAGAATATTGGCAGAATATTACTGGTGGTAGGCCCTCTTGTGAGTCCGCGTGGGTAGGTACTACCACTCTGCCTATTTCTGCCGTGAAGCAGTAATGCGTTTTTGTTTGAAGGGCGGGGCAGCCGTTGTAACTATACTGAGAACTTAGAACTTATATCTCAAGGTGGGTGGCGGCATTTATGTTGTAGATGTCTATAGGCTCCAGTAACCACTTAATACCAGGTGGGCTGTGAGCCCGTCCAACCATCTATGCAATAAATAAATAAATAAAACTGTGGAATATGTACGCGATATATCAGCCATAAGAGCCACTCTCGGAGCGCGGTGCAAGAGAGACGATCAAAACTTGTGTCTGAAGTTTTTTTTATTATTTAGTCGGGTGGACGAGTTCACAGGACACTAAACGGCAGCATGTATACGTATGTGTGTAGGTACCGTGAATTATTATTATTGACATAAATAAATATGGTTAAAAGTAATTTATTACCATAGTTTCAATATTGAAAGAGTTGTTTCTGAAAGCGAAGAGAAATATGAATCCAGTGACAATAGAACTTAAAGAGTAAACGAAGTTTTGTTGATTTTCGTTTAGGTTTGATTAGAAGCACGTGTGTTAATAAAACTCCAATAATACAATTCGCTTTATAATAAATAATACTTTATAAATTTGGAGATTAACATAAATTCTTATGAGCGGTCGAAACGTCCGTTGTTGATTGGTTGTTGATTGAGTCTGTCGGCGAGCCGCGATCAGCTGATGCCTCTCCCCGTCCGCCGCGTCTCACACACTGGACACGTGTATAATTCTTAATCCCGTTGAAGTATGTTTGGTATTTAACGAATAACTCAATTTGGTGAATATTCAACTATTTTTCAGTGAGATACCGGATTTAATACGAATCTAGATTAACGGGCGTTTCCGAAAAGTGATTAATTGCTCGAGGTTCAAAGTAATTGTGATTACTATAAATATTTATTTGATTTATTGTCGGTAGCTGTTGTTTGAACCCGTAATTGTTGCGTAATGACAGGACACAAGAAAATAGGATAAACCGGTGCGCTGCGCTGTAATTATATTTTCCCAATAGCTATAATACGAATTACAACCATTTGTTAAAAAAATATTGCAATTTTATTAGTGTTCAATATTTAAACTCATTCAAGTCTTTTAGAGTAAAATGTTCGAATGACGATGAGTTAAGAAAAAATAGACTAGCCATAGTAGCCATACCATATATTATCATCATCATTCTCCTGCCCTTCTCCCAGTGACATGGGGTCGGCGCAACATGTTATCTCCTTCCATACTCCTCTATCATATACCATTTCTTCGCTCACTGCCTTCTTAAACATATCGTCTTTGACGCAATCCATCCATTGCTTCTTAGGTCTACCTCCTCCTCTATATCCTTCTACATTCATTGTTAATATTCTCTTACCAACCTCATTTTCATTTCGTCTCATCACATGTCTATATCATCCCAAGCGCGGACTGCTCAGCTTCTCTGTCACAGGTGCCACTTTCAGACTTCCTCTGACATACTCATTCGATATTCTATCCATTCTCGTTACTCCACACATCCATCGCAACATTCGCATCTCTGCTGCATGCAATCGCCTTTCATACATCATACGCATTTCATACAACCGCCATACAATGTATTATAATCTCTTTTATTGATGTAACAAAGTAGATTTTTTATTTTTTTATTGCCCTTGTAGGCAGGCGGGCGTACGGCCCACCTGATGGTGAGTGGTTATCGCCGCCCATGAACTCCAGCAATGCCAGGGGTAGAGTCAACCTGCTGCCTAGAAAGGTGCAATATATACCGTGAAGTCTGTTTACGAATATAATTAATGCCGTATGTTACGAATCGGTAATGTGACAGTTCCGTGTCGTTAGCGATTTTGTCAACTCCGCTAAAAATTGTGAAAAGATTCTTACCTAAACCATCGGTTGATGAGCCTGCTTTTCAAGTCGATCGTGCCTTTCCTCTCGAGCTCTTGCAGGAGGTTGTAAGCGTTCAGGAACCCACTGAGGTACAGGAAACTGTCTGTGTATAGTATCGCTGAGCGACCGATCACAGCCCACGGCATTCCGAATACCTGAATGTAACATTAAACTTTGACCGATTTGTTTTCCATTGCGCGCGATACAATAATTAAAGATCCGTTGTCAACAAGTGACTTTCTCATAGTAGGGTTTGCGAGTCCGTTAGGATCATCTCCTACTTATTGTTGGCGCCATGTGTTCCTGTTGAAATAGTAGTTTAAGCCGTTATAATCGAGTATGCCGTACCGAGGCATCAAACTTCTTATGTCTAAAATTTTGGTGTCAGTGTTCACTTTATGTCTATGGTCTTTGGCAACTATATACTTAATACTAATTAGGCCGTGAGCTCCTCTGCTCATAATAATAAAATGTTTTTATTAGATTTCATATTTTGGGATAGATTCCCAAGCAGGATCTGCAGGATCTCCGAGTCACTGATTGGCAAGATTTAGCTTTGAAGCGGGACCAGTGGCGTTCATTAGTTTCAAAGGAAATTCACTTTGAGTTACTAGCTCAGTGGGATATGTTAGTCAAATCATGAAAAGCTTGAATTCTTACCTCAGAGAAGCTAACTTTGTTAACGTAAGGGTTATGCGCCATGGCCATTGATTTATGCGCAACGAGCAAAGCGAGGGCATTGATACCCCTGAATGCGTCCACTCCTTTGACCCTAGTCGCTGCGTCGGATAGATCAAAGACTTTCCTCAGATTACGCTTCAACGAAAAAGCGTTAAGTAGTTTCTCGAAATTTGTCACGCCATCTTTGTCGTCGTCCAAAATAGTTCCAAGACTCAACAGTAGCAGTATTGCTAAGAAGAAAGATCTGAAAATGGCAAAAAGAGCGATATAAAACATTTTCAGTTTTTGTTCTTCTTGAAGACCGACCATTGGGCTTGGTTTCGGGATAATGGTCAGTTTGGTGCTCATCAAATATGTAATGTTTATTGGACGAGAAGATAAACACACTCGTAGGCAACCTGCTGTTTTTGGTATTAATTTTTGTACTAAAAGATTTTTTGTAATGCAACATTAAAAACAGAGAATGGATATAATCAAATAAGCTGTATTTTTTTCTTCTGAGGCCAGTATCGATAATACGAAAGAGAAATGAAGTCGTAATGACAAAAAAACTATTTACGCTAAGATTAGAAAAAGAAAGAAATTATTGTACCTATACTTATACGATATGTATTAGAAATGTTTCACACCGGGGTTGTTGGAGTCTATAGACATCATAACTTGAATGCTATCTTCCATTTTGAGACGTGAGGTCGGACTGTCAATTGTATAGTATAGCATCTGTCATACTCCTCTAGAGCACATGACTGCTTCGCGGCAGAAACAGGCAAGATGATCTTTGGTATTTTGTGAATTAAGTAAATCTATATATATATATAAATTAATTGCTGTTCGTTAGTCTCGCTAAAACTCGAGAACGGCTGGACCGATTTGGCTAATTTCGGTCTTGAATTATTTGTGGAAGTCCAGAGAAAGTTTAAAAGGTAGATAAACATGAAAATTCTCAGAATTAAATAAAAATAACAATTTTGTTTTCCCTACGATGTCCCTCCCCATCAGACGAATTCCTTTTATTTGTTTTAAGTTATTTTATACAAAAGCTTAGGTCTTTTATTTATCGATCGAGGCACTACGAAGTCTGCCGGGTCAGTTAGTTGTTAGAAAATAATAATGAACTGAAGTTTAGTTTTCGTTTTATCTTGGCTTCAAAAAGTATAGAGACGGCTTGGATCTGACTGTACGCAGATGTAAGTATTTGAAAGTAAAACATTTAGGAACAGAAAAGTGTTTCATATACATCGCATCCTTCACCTTTGAAAATTAACAATCATAAATGAATCATTTTGTAACACTATTTTAATGGAGCAAGAGTTTATGTGTTTTGTAGTTTCATAATAACTTTTTACGTTTACTATTAATTTTGAATGCTTTAGTCATGACTAAAAGCACATTCATGGTTTAATCATCTTAATGTTTGCTGGGTGTCTTGGTATGTTTGTTGCTGAATCATTCATCGCATATTTTATTGAAACGTGGTTCAGTTGTGACTAGCATTTTATTCTCACAAGAGGTCCTACCACCAGTAATTACGCAAATTATAATTTTGCGGGTTTGATTTTTTTATTACACGATGCTATTCCTTCATCGTGGAAGTCAATCGTGAACATTTGTCAAGTACGTATTTCATTACAAAAATTGGTACCCGCCTGCGGGATTGCAACACCGTTGCATCGCTAGATACGAATGCAATGGACGTCTTTTTCTTTTAGGCCTTAGGAACATATGTCTTTCATTTCTACAAATTTACCGGAGCGTGTTCCGGTTCATCATCAACATCTTCAGCCTATGGAACTCCACTGCTGAAAGCAATCTAATTGTGCACCACTGGGTTTAATCCTCGGCTTCTCTCATCTATCTCTCGTCGTTTCCATCAGGGAAAATTTTAAAAGCACAACTAAAAATCTCAATTACTAGAAGAACATGTAGCACTGTATGAAAATCGTACCAAGATGCAAATTTTAAGATGGGGTCGTGGAATTAGATGGATAGGCGATAGAGTAAAATGAGGAATGAGCGTCTTACAGAAAGTATCCAATTAGCCCCTGTGATTCATGAAATGAGTAGTAAGAAATTGGCGTTTGACACGTGATGACAAAAGAATACATATAATATTATGTGTAATTATAACAGTGATGAACTTACATGTGCATGCAAACAAAGAGGAAGGAAGCCCAAAAAAAAGATGGATGAATTGTGTATATAAGTGCATGATCGTGGTCCGAGTGATTGTGAGTATAAATTAAAATAGAGCAGCATGAGTAAGTCAGGTAACCCCTGATAAATTAAGAGGATATGAAGTATACAGAATAGAAACAGTATTTGAAAAGACAGCCAGATGTGATATTTTTCGAATCTATATATGTAAAAATGAACTGCTGTTCGTTAGTCTCGCTAAAACTCCGACTGGACCGTTTGGCTAATTTTGGTCTTAAATTATTTGTGGAAGTTCAGAGAAGGTTTAAAAGGTAGATAAATATGAAAATGCTCGGAATTAAATAAAAATAACAATTTTGTTTTTTCCTTTGATGTGTCCCCCCGTCGGACGGATTCCTTTTGTTTTTTTTAAGTCTATTTTATACAAAAGTTTAGGTCTTTTATTTATCGATTGACAATTGACGAAGTCTGCCGGGTCAACTAGTACCTAATAATTTACTTCTAAAAAACTATACGCTTTTAAAGCAGTCTGCAATGAATGTTTGATTAAATTTAAACACTCAATACATATTTAAACTATGTATACATTTTATTAATTATGAAATGTTACGGTAAAGAAAATAAATAGCATTCATTTCAGTTGTCAATAGAGGCGCTAAAATATTCCAGAAGACTAAATATAGCTAGCTATAGGTACTGCAAATGTTCCAGATAAACAATGCCTAAATTATATTACTACCTAAATATATTTAGTATAGCCAATGGAAGTACCTTGGCACTTGCAAGTACTTATTAGACCTACATTTTTAATTTGAGTATACGTGGAAACTTGACATAAAAACATTCTTGGCTTAAAACTATAAAGTGTTATATAACAAAAAAAATGCGCGAAAATAGATTCTGAAATTAGTTTAAAAAATATATTGACAGACATACAAAAATAAATAATGCGTATTTTTTTGTTCTATTTTACCGCTAATGAGCAATGTATTTCGCCTTTTTATTTATTTATTTAAGCCTTTATTTCGAGATTTTATTTTACTGACTTATAAATGTAGATACTTATAAATGTAGATATTATTAATTTAAATTAAATGTCAAATCATTAATTAAACTAATTATTTATTATTAAAATTATATACCAGTTTTCTTATTTATTATAAAATCATTATTCTCGTTGAAATCTTGATAATGTTGAATAATGTATTTAAAATTGTTAATTTTATTTTATCAATAAATGGATATGGTTATTAAATAAAAACTATCTGCGCAGATATATATTTTAATTATTAGTGCTGCATCGATAATTATTTATAAACTATTTTTTTTTTTTTTTATTGCTTAGATGGGTGGACGAGCTCACAGCCCACCTGTTGTTAAGTGGTTACTGGAGCCCATAGACATCTACAACGTAAATGCGCCACCCACCTTGAGATATAAGTTCTAAGGTCTCGGTATAGTTACAACGGCTGCCCCACCCTTCAAACCGAAACGCATTACTGCTTCACGGCAGAAATAGGCAGGGCGGTGGTACCTACCCGTGCGGACTCACAAGAGATCCTACCACCAGTAATTACGCAAATTATAATTTTGCGGGTTTTAATTTTATTACACGATGTTATTCCTTCACCGTGGAAGTCAATCGTGAACATTTGCCGAGTACATATTTTATTAGAAAAATTGGTACCCGCCTGAGATTCGAACACCGGCGCATCGCTCAACACGAATGCACCGGACGTCTTATCCCTTAGGCCACGACGACTTCAAAACTAAAACAAAACTAATCAGTTTATTGCAATAGGAACAGGATCGAGTGAATATTAAAATAAATTTATTATTAGAATCATTATTATGTATGTTTATGATTGTTTGTGTCTTGACGGTGGTCGGTCTAGACTCAAGGTAATAGAAAATGATTTTGTTCCAATCATTTAAAAAAAAAAGGTAGATCTGCATTTTTTTAACATGCTCTGACCACTCATGCGAACCATTTTAAAATATTTGCCAAATCCAAGTACTCGCCGAAGGAAATAATCTGATTTCATGTATGGGGCGTGAGATCATTGAAATAAAAACGTCATCATTATATTTATATAAAATGAATATAAAGAAGACGTTTGGCCTTTATCGTCTTAGCAGCTGTGATCTTCTTGACTTTTATACTCTAGACTTTAAGATATTTTTAGTATTTATGTGTAAAAAGAAACGTCAGCGTCAAGAAATAATTTATAGAAAAATGGACGGTAGTTAGCATAATATTTAAATGTACTCGAGTAACGTGAAGCATACGAAAGGTTATCTATACTTAATATTATATAGAGGAAAGATTTGTTTGTTTGTTTGTATTGAATAGGCTCCGAAACTACTGAACCGATTTGAAAAATTCTTTCACTGTTTGGAAGCTACACTATTCCTGAGTGACATAAGTTATAATCTTTTTTGAAAAAAATTAGGGATCCTTACTAAAACTCCAATTATGTAACCTAAGGTGTAAAAAAATTACCTAAAATATTCTTTACATCGCATGCCCTGCGAAAACTATTGACGATAGAATAAAAAAATGTACTACGACTTTGTAGAACACATTATTATTTAGAAAAAGTGTCGCGACAGCATATGCCTAACTATTATAGTTATGCCACAATAAGTGTTCTTTTATTTTAAAAAAATAAACAACGTCAAATATCGTTGAAATTTTTGTTAAAGACCCGAGCGGAGCCGGAGCGGGCCGCTAGTAAATAATAAAATGAAAATAATATACGCGAGATTAAATCTTAAAAATAGTTTTAATTATTTTCAAAATGATTTAAGGCTGCATAAACCTGTCTCTTCTAGTTAAAATAATCTTTACACGCCACTGATGTAATGACAACTCATTTAAATCATAGTGATTTAAAAGTACCCACGAAAACTGTTGAATGAAATCTTTTTTTATTTTGATTCATTACAATGTTACCTTCATTCAGGCGATGATTTGAATTTGATGATTGAATTTAGCTACTAAAAGATTACGACGTACTTACATGGACAAGGCTTTCCCAAACGAATAAGGACGTTTAACATTCTTCACGGTGCACATAGTGTTGTGTACTTTGGCTGTGATGCCGAGATGCGATAGACGGTACGACAGCTCCTCTTCCAGGTCGAAGCTACTGCACGAGCTTGGGATGCAGATGCCCCAAAGCAGACTGGAATACCGCGGAACTCTGTGGCCCATCTGGAAAACAAATCCGGCTTCAATTTTGTATGAGTTTTGGTTCTGTGTGTGTGGTACTACTCCGATCTCCAGGATTTTTTTTTCATTGCTTCGTTGGGTGGACGGGCTTACACCACACCTGGTATTAAGTGATTACTGGAGCCCATAGACAACCCACCTTGAGATATGGGTTCTAAGGTTACAGTATAGTTACGTTACAACGGCTGCCCCACCCTTCAAACCGAAACGCATTACTGCTTCACGGCAGAAATAGGAAGGGCGGTGGTAACTATCCGCGCGGACTCACAAGACGTCCTACCACCAGTAAAAATGTCGAAAAAGCATAAATAAATTCATTGGGGAATGGGCGGTAGCGTTTGTACTACGGTGGACATGCTACGGTTGAAATTAAGTGTTTGCTGCGTTTTTTGCGTAGATCGAGTAATCGGCTCTAGGTCTACCTGTTGTTGAGTGATTACTGGAGCCCATGGGGACATCGCAGTGTAATTACAATCACCTTCTCTCGGACATAAGATCTAAGTCTCGATTATTTAGTATAATTTCAACCGTAACGCTATGTTTTTTTCGAGTATGATTTTTATGACTAGATGTTATTCCTTCATCGAGGAGGTTATACGTGAAATCGTGTTAACTTTATGTACATATTTTATTTTACAATTCCCAATGGCTTCATGTAGATTACTGAATATATAAACCCTATGCCCATAACAGAATTAACGCAGTATACAACGTAACACACACACAAGATCATTGCTATTTTTTGTTATATACTTTTAAAATTATTAAATTTAGCCAAAAATATTTTAGTAGCTAGTTGATATTATATGCATGTTGCTATGAAGTAAAAAATAAAACAAAAATTATAATGATATTTTTATTTAATTGGCACATAAAATTAATCGTTCATGGTCCGTCGAGAAAAATAAATAATATGTTAAAATGCGACACTTTGCGAACTAGTTATATATATTCTATGCGTCATTTAAATGCATTATTTTCTATGCCGATAATTTTAAATATATTTGTAAGCAAATCACCCAAATCATCATATAATAGAAGACTGATGTGGAATTAAAATAATTTCAATACGCATTGTTCAAAACAATGCGATCACCGAAGCCAATGTGTTAAACATCGCAATACTTTGTTTTGAGCATTTGATTTGATCAAGGGCCATTGTGCAATTACAATTGTGATTCAAAATGAAGTCGGAGTCCAAATAAGCTGACATAGTACCTGGTACCTCGGGTGCTGGGGGAATCTTAATGAAGGCAGAGCCTTGAGAATCCGCCTTATGAAATATTCTAGATGTTTTTAGATGTTCGATTAGTGTAATAATGTTTTGGTCATACTTTTCCCCCCTACCTAATCGTTGGTAGTCTAAGGGGTTATTCTGACTTCACGCGGACCAGCAGGTGAGCTCAGGGGCTCAATCTGATAGAATTGTTAACACTAGCCCTAGCAAGAGTAGTGCATCACTGAATCTACTACTAGATCGGAATCGCGACCCACTGAGAAGATCTGGCGAGAAACTCAGTATGTTGTGTCTATGGGCTAGTTCGCACGTTGAACTGTTCGTCGTAGCCGACGAGTTCGACGAGGAGTCATACGTAGGGGAGGGGGGGGGGAGATCAGGTGAGCTCTGTGCCATGCTGAAGTTTTGTATGAATGAATCTCGCTAACGACATTTTCAAGATATGATTGATTATTTACAAGTTTCGAACAACATCATGCGGACCGTCAGTCTACCGAGCTATTTCACACATTCGGCGGAAGATCTTCCCTTTGTCGTTTCCCTACAAAAAGTAATACAATGGTGTAGTACCCGCTGATTTTATAAACATCCATATTATATTCTTTTTATATTGCTTATATGAGTGAAAGAGCTCACGGCCCACCTGGCGTTAAGTGGTTACCGGAGCCCATAGATATCTACAACGTAAATGCCGCCACCTACCTTAAGATATAAGTTCTTAGGTCTCAGTATAGTTACAACGGCTGCCTCACCCTTCAAACCGAAACGCATTAGTGCTTCACGGCAGAAATAGGAATTCGATCAAGCTACTACATGAGATGTATACTTTTTTCAAGAGAAGTTATTAACTTCGCCTCGATTTTAGTTTTGATAACAATTTATGCTTGTGAAAAAAAGTAGAACTTTCTAACATAAAAATAAAACAAAAAAAATTGTAGCGTACCGTAATTGCTAAAAACCGATTTCTAGGGAATTCACTAAGAATCTTAGCATTCGTATAAGCAATAGTAATGTAATAATCATACAGTTACTACAATAAATTCAGTAGACACGATTTTACTGAAATTGTTTGTCGAGAATTTCGCTAAATCATTCAAACATGTAGACAAATGTTGTGTTATAAGTATAACACACACGGATGTTTCATATAGTAATAATAAGAAATATTAAAGCAAAAAAACTTTTCAATTGTAAATGACGGAGCAATTCATAATGTTAGAAATAAGCAAGTGGGTAAATGTTTCTATCCCTCTCGCATGCCAGCGAGTTTTTGTTTTAATTGCTGATATGGATCGACGAGTTAATGGCCCACCTGGTTTTAAGTGGTCACCAGAGACCATAAACATCACCAACGTAAATGCCGGTGCCCACTTTGAGGCATGAGTTCTGAGTCTTCGTTTTTCAGTACAACGACTGTCCCATCCTTTAAACTGATTGACGGCAGTAAAAGGCAGGGCGGTGGTACCTACCCATGCGAGCTCACAAAATGCCGTAATTACGCAGATTTTATTTTTTCCGTATTTGATTTTTATTACACCATGTTATTCCTTCACCATGGAAGTCAATTGTGAACATCTCTTAAGAACGTATTTCATCAGAAAAGTTGGTACCTGCCCGCGGATTCGAACACCGGCAAATCGCATCGCTCGATACGAATGTACCGGCCATCTTATCCCTCAAGCCACAATGACTTTAATATAATGGCGATGATGTCACTAGTAATTTTGTGCTTCCTTTTCTTCTTAATTTATAATAACAAATGACGTCACCTATCCAGATTCAAAGGACATATTTGTAGGTGATGTATTATATAAAAGTGTATTTCTATTTTACACTTCGGACAACATAATTATCTTTTTAAAGGACAATGCCCAAAAGTGGGCCAACTTTATGTCTAAACTATTTGTACTTGAAAAACTATGCCTTATTTTTTCACGTTGTTTAGTTTATGTATCAACATTTCTTTCACCCTGGCATTGTTTTACAAAAAAATAAATTACTTATTTGATAACATCCCAAAACTGAGTGCCATAGTTTTTAAATTCGCCAATAGGCAAAGGTCTTAGCCCATACAGCCTTATAGTAAGCCTATATGCTGCCAAACGAAAGAGTTGTCTGTGACTTGAACAACAAATACATAAAAAATTGCTAATGGTTATAATTCACAGACTTTTTAGTTTATTTTTGTTAAATTAAATATTTATATATTATAATAATAATTATTACTTAAAATCATGAATTATTTAATATTTTAAGATATTAATGATTCCATTAGTAAAAATCTCAATGGCCTACCATTACTCTATTCTTATTATATATGATCAGAGAGTTTTGGCAGCAACCCGAATGAAGCGTCACTTGAAGTTTTATTTTAATGTTTTTTTAATAGTTTATTGTGATGTATAATATACAAATTGGGTGTTGTTTTGTGTATTAAACGTCAATAATCGTTGTTCACGATTATTGAGGCATTGGAATAAAACTGTGGCTAACATAGCAGTGACTGTTTTTTTTTTTTCAAGACAAAAGGTCTGCGGAAATTGACGCTCACTCAATGTGCTATTCATCGAGTTGACGTCAGAACTCCCAAAAAGCAATAAAAGAGATACACCGGCTTTTTATTGACATTACATCTTTGCTTAATTATTGGCGAATTTAAAAACAACAACAACAATATCGTTGCCGGCTTCCGGATTTTTATTCCATTTTATTATTATTATCAGGATATAATAATAATAAAATGTATGTAAGGGCTTATTTCTAGCAACATTAACCACAATTAACTTATTTAATACTGTAAATTTTAATAATGATGAGACCGATTATTGATTTCGACGAAAACAATTCACAACTTAATTTTAGCTGCAGAAAAAAACAGATTTCTCTTAAACCTGGGTGAGAATATAAAAATCGTTTTCTGAATATGAAACGATATTTCTTTGTCTATCAAATTATGTTAAAACCATCATGACCCGACAACTTTTTTAGGGGCCCAAACGCCCATAGAAAATGGGCATTGACCTTTGGCGGTGATTTGGAAAAATAGCTTTATGTTTAAGGTACATCGTAATAACTATAATAATATAATTAATTGGAATAAGACTAATATTAATGTAATATGAATCCTGCCTGGATTGCCTAACTTGCTGCCTTTTGTTTGGTAATGTATGTTTTACTCTTTTAGGCTTCTTAAAAGATTCATTTTCGGTATCTTCGGATACGTTTTTCCCAGAGTCTACTAGATATTCCAGCTCCTTAATTACAGAAATCGACATAATTACTTCAGTGCGCCGCGTAGGGCACCGGTGATCTACACGGCAGTCAAAAGGTTAAAAACAAGAGTTTTCCCAGAGCACCACTTAAAAACAACGCGTATTTGAGTCGTCTATTATCAAAGGTGGCAATCTGTGCATTTGGACAAAAAAAATTTATTGATATGTCAATACAGATTGATTTGAATATAATCGTCTCCTTCAAAGAATACGGTTCAAAACCTGCATTAAATAAAGGTTAATACTTAACCTGTTATTTATCTATGATGTCGTTCAGAAGAGTTTTGTGACTGCCAATGGAATACAAAGTCAATAATTCGTTTTTCTGATTTACCAATAATTGTCCAAAAGTCACATTGCCGGCTTTGATAATAGTCGACTCATTTGTAAACTTTATTTGTACGCAAAACACTTTAAAACAAAAAAAAAACAAAAAACACGAAACTATTATTATTATGTGTCATTATGATTCG